TCTCTCTCTCTCTCTCTCTCTCTCTCTCTCTCTCTCTCTTCTCTCTCTCTCTCTCTCTCTCTCTCTCTCTCTCTCTCTCTCTCTCTCTCTCGCTCTCTCTCTCTCTCATCCTTATTATACTAGTATCCTATCTTAGTATACTAGTGTATTAGACCTTACATCACTTCCCTCCCTCCCTGTTAGATTCCACACGGCTCCCTCTCCGTGCGGTCTCACACTCCCCTCCCTCTGTTTCACTCTGATATCAGCTCCTCCCCAGCAACCTCCGTCTTACTCCCTCCCTCCATGTGAGAGCTGACATCCCGTTACCCTCCCTCTCTGTTAGATTTCACACGCCTGCCTTCTTGTTAAACTTCACATCTCTCTCCCTCCCGCCTTCCCTCCCGCCCTTTCTCCCTCACTTCCTTCCCCACTTCTTCCCTCCCGCCATTCGTCCCTCCCTTCCTTCCTCACTTCTTCCCTCCCGCCCTTTCTCTCTCGCGACCTTCCTCCCGCTCTTCATCTTTCCCGTCCTCCCTCACTTCTTCCATCTCGTTCTTCCCCCTTACTTCCTCCCTCCCGTCCTCCGTCCTCCCTCCCGCCCCTCCTTCCTCACTTCCTCCATTCCGCCCTTCATCGTGCCCTTCCTCCCCTCCCTCTCTGTTAGATCTCACACTAACCTTTAGTTTCAGAGCGGCCGATTATTGTCGCGAAAAACCTGCTTGTTCGCAGATATATACATCGAGTCTATTCTAAGCTGTCAGCAGCGTGCTATTGATTTCAGTTAGCAACATCATTATTTGCGTATGCAGACGCGTAATAGGGAAAATGAATTCGAATCCTGGCACGTCGTCGTGCTGTCGTGTGCCGAGGCTAGGCTGTCGCAAACGACGATAAGAAGCTGCTGATAGATAAGTCTGCTAGCAGCAGCTGTTGTTCTGCTGACAGTCGGGTGACGTCACGTCCGCAGACGCTCCACGCGTCGCCACTATGTATATTCTCCCCCGGGTGTTGTATCGGGCGTGCCTAAGACCAACCATGTTAATTTAAGTGGAAAATGCGTATACCTATGCATTGCATTATGAAAATGCATATAGCACCTACCCCTAGTGAAGAAAGTCTGGGTGCGGTTAGACGTGCGTTGTCAACTACACGGGATCTGACAGCGTCTTGCGAAATTATTTTTTTGTCGCAGCGAGTTTTTTTTCTTGGCGAGGAGGCTTCTGTTTCCTTCCTGTCCCATTTGCGCGCGTACATCTCGAATATGTTTTGTATGATGCGTGCGTCTCGGTGAAGAATGGAGGAAATGAACTAGCAGCCGCGTCTGCGTTTATTGCGATAGAGAATGAGTACCTTCCACGCTCCCGTTGCCTAGCGATAGCATCCAATCTAGAGGAAATTAATGTGGGGGGGGGAAACGAGTTCGAAACAGAATACGCCTAAAATTGCGCTGGATCTTTCGTTTTTGCAAATCATTTTCGTACGGGTTTCTCATTTTACGCAGGATTTGCAGTAACTGAAACTCTACCGGTTAACACGTGTTGTAATCGCTATTCGTACTCATCGTCCCCAATACGTATTACACAACTGTGGCTTCATGAAGGCAACGTGAAAACGATCACTAATATATGTAGATACACGCGAGCAGCCCGTATGTAATAAAAGCGGTCGAACGTAAATGTGTTGCTATTTGTACAGCCCTGACGAGGAACGGTAGTTCCTTCATCTGTGTTGGATTATAAATTAATAACAGCATTGTCCCCAACATATTTTCTAATTTTAGCTTTCCAGGTATTAGGCATGTATTAGGAATGAGTGTACGGAGGTGCGAGCGTCCGATTTTATGTATAGTGGTTCTATATGCTTCTACATACATGCTCCATGTGCGTCAATTACAGACACACGGCTACCTGAGCCGGTACGAATTGGGTCTTTTTCATCGGCCTATGCATGTAGTCCATAATCCATTGGAATCGTATTACCACGAAATAATGTAATGCCACTGCAACTTGTCTTCTTTCGGTTCCTGTTACACTAGAGAAGTGCTTTAGGATTGATCTTGTGCACTAGGAGGACAAATCATAGCTGTGTATCAGGTACCTTACTTCGACAAGACTGGTGGGTGTTCAGCTGCAATAGAATATATTCTGATTTCATCGAATTACATTATTAGTGTCCAGGGGCGTGTACAGGGGGGGGGGGGTCCAGGAGGTCCGGACACCCCCCCTGCTCGCGCAGAAAACGCATCTGAAGGGGTTTAATTTCAAAAAATTTCCCCCAATTCCCCCCCCCCTTCGCGAACTCGCAAGTTTGGGTTACGGTCAGACCCCCCCCCCCTGGTACAAATGCAAGGCAGAGGTGAAAATGAAGAGTTAATATTCTAAAATCGAAGAAAGGGCGACGATGGAAAACCACGTTCAGCAGTTTGTTTTCCATTAAAAACCATGATACCTTTCTGCTTTTACGTGTGATCGTTTATGGTGTAGACACACGCTCTAGTCAATAAGTGTATTTATTTTAGGATTTCAGAGATATATTGTTTAGTTGAACCAGCTCAATACTTTGGCTGCAAATGTAAATTCACACCAATTCATGTTTGTCAACATAATCGAAATGATACGAGCTTTTAGCTTTAAATAATATTATTTGAGGTTAGTATAAAATCGTTGTAATCAATCTGTATAATATAACTTATTGTGACTATTTGAAATTTTTTGTATATTAAACTTTTACAACATATGGTACCGGTATTGAATTTTGTGTTTGATGTTATGTTGCAAGTAATGCATCACGTAGAGGTTACTACAATAAAAAAACACCTGGGTATTTGGAAAGCCATATATATTGATTAAATACATTCGCTTTATGAAGCTTTTATACATGAAACCGTTCACAAAACACACACATACCATACACGTACTCCTAATAATTTCAGGTGACACTGTCAAGCACTCACACACACACAGCATACACGTTCCCAGATGACATATTTTGACATATTTATCTATTATTGCGATCATATGAGTATTATAACACTGTTTAGACAAAATACACTAGACGAGTCGATATCCCTGGTTAAAAAGAATCCAATTTAAACCAATTTAATTCTGACAAGCCCTTGTTATTTTTATACACGATCTTCACATCTGCTAGCTACACTGAAAAGTGCATAATTTGCTCGAAATTAAAATCAAATAATTTCGAACTCCCTGCCCTCAACCCTAAATCTGACTAATTTCTCTAGAGAGTCTAACGAAATTTATACGGTACTCCTTCAGAATTTGAATTTTATGTGTAAATAGGTTTTGGCAGATGGTTTTGTGCCAGTCAGAAATCGACCCCACAATACGATAACGTCGGGCGTGCTCGCAAATTTGCAGGTGCCTCCCTCTTGTGGCCAAGCATTGTCTAGTGGCAGGGGCGTGTACAGGATTTGTACCAGTGGGGTGTCTAACCGTAACCCAAACTTGCGAGCACGAGAAGGGGGGTCTGGGGGGCCCTCCCATCCGAAGCATTTTTGAAATCTTAGAGCCCCCTTAAAGATGCGTTTCTGGCGCGATGCAGGGGGGTCCGCACAACGCCTGTAAGACCGCCCCTGAGTGGTGGGATTCCAATAAATGTGATAGTAACGAGTTATCTAATATTTTATAATATTATATACATACCAGGCCCGTAGTTGGCCTCGCCAAAAATGTCGACTGCAGAAATATGTAGGACCACCGCCAGTCGATAATATCAAGAGTGCCAGTTACGGTGTTGTGCCGCAGGCATGCCATGGGCTTAACGCCGCGATCGCGAAGCCGATACGCGGGGGGGGGGGGGGCGTGTGTCTGAGGGTATTTCCACCAACATTTTTTTAATTTAGAGCTAGAAATCGGCATCTTCCTGCCATTTTCAGCTAGTTGAAAGCAACAAAATTCTCTAAGTCATTTTTAAAGGGTCAATTTTGAATTTTCAAAGAAGAATGTAGCTAAAGCCTGATGTTTATACTAAAAGTATATAAAATATATATTACGAGTATGATAACTAATAAAACATTGTTTACAAAATTGTATATACTATCAGTAAATAATTATGAAAAATAATATAGTTTTTAATATTTCCGTTCCAGTGCATCGTACTTCAGAATACGTTGAAGCCGGGCCGTGAAGGCATGCATGCAACGTGTGTGTGTTTGTGTGTGTGAGTGCGTGCGTACGTGCGTGCGTGTGTGTGTGTGCGTGTCCGTATGCGTGCGTTCATCTCTCTCCGGGTCATGTTTTTCTCTCCTCTACATAATACAACAATTATTGGTTCAAGTGCTACAGCATAGATTTCAAAGCAAATCACTGTTCCCCCCACAGTTCCTGAGACCCCCTCTTTTAAACGTGTCCAGTTTCATAGCATTGAATTTCAACGAAATCCTAGCTAGTTCCGGAGACCCCCTCTTTTAAACGTGTCCAGTTTCATAGCATTGAATTTCAACGAAATCCTAGTTCCGGAGACCCCCATTTTTGAACATAGCCCAGAGATGCTAACACATATTTGGAGCAATCTGTAGTTTCTGGCCATCAAATTAGTAGTTAGAGGGTCACATAATGACCCGAGTTTGCTAGGGGGGTCCGGCATGCCCCCCGGAAAAATGTTTGATTCTGAGATGCAATTTCCTGCATTCTGAGGGTCAAAAATGACAAAAATTGACAACAACAAAAATATTTCCGATCACAATGAAATTCGTAGTTTCATACAAACTGGTCGTAATGGTGCAAAAGGAATAGAAATTCGTATAAAATACGGATAAATCGTAGTGGTTGGCATCTCTGATAGCCGGTTCCAGAGCATCCCACATTCAACAAACATTAGTTCCATAGACCCCCATTTTCAGGTCCGAGTTAGTTCCAGAGCCTCCCCCCCCATTTTTGACTTCGCAGTGGCACATACCTACCATAATGTGGGGTGAGTGCCCCCTCCCCAGGGTTTCATCTCCTTGGTATACGTTGCTCCTTGGTTCCCTGCACAATTTTTTTTTGTCAAAATAGTGCCACGGCAGTGCCGTGCTGCCGTGGCGGCCATTACGGCCCTGCATACTTACACATTACTTATAACAGTTATGAGAGATTTTGGCTCATGAATAAGATAGAATAGATATAGTCTATATTATATATAGTTTAAAAAATACCATATTAACTCTTCACATCTTATTGCCACTTAAGGCCACCATATCTTCTGCTTCCCACAGCAATATATGCCAGGTTTAATAGAAGATACAGGATTGGGACGGCTGTATGCATTGCACATAAGTATTATCAGGAGTAAGATAATATAGAAGATCTATATTATCTTACTCCTGGTATTATAACAGTGTTAGGGAGCACGATTTACAGGCATTCCCAGTGCTATCTGGTTCGGTAAGCTTTTGGCACAATCAGTAGTGATTGCACGTCTGCAAAGAAAGGATAACAACTTTAAATATAAATGTACATATCACACAATAATAGTCATTGTAAAATTTGTGAATTGTAAATTTTACTTCTAATAATTTGAAATTACATTAGTGAGCTTGTTTCTGTAGTAATCAGTGTGACTACTGACTACCACATGTTCTCACACTGTGCTTAAACGTGCACATGCCTATAGTCTGTATAGATTCTCAACCTTGTTTCACTTTACAACAAAGAATGACTACATAGCATGGTTTAGAACATACGCTATGCAATTAAAATTATGAAACCTACAGTCTTTGTGCAAAAGGTCAGCCAGAATAAGCCCATAAAAGACATATTTCTTGCTGTGATGGTCCTCTGTACCCTTTTCAAACGACCTTAAATGAAAAAAAGTATTATTAACACCAACCAGTTCAACCCTGATAAACAATTTCAAAAGACACATGCGTGTGCGCAGCCATTTTGTTGTTAAAACCCAGGACGATAGGCACTGCAGATAAAAGCTGAAGGTCTGATTTCTGCAAGAATATCTTACCATCCGAGGTGTTGGCCACAGCGAGGACATACTGTTATCCGCCATGCATAACTTGGAAACCACGATGCATCGTAAACAGCTACGCCATGCCTGTACACGTCGGCCTGTTTCACTGTGATCAACTCGAATCTATTCTCTGTAAAAGAAGATTTCTTTTAGTCATTTTTGGTAAGATTTTGTTTTTGTGTGTTGCGAGTTGTTTTAGTTATGAGTTGTTCAGTCATTTGTTTAGTTCATTTAAAACATTCCTATTTATATTTGATTAAAAAACTGTAAAGAGAGATTCCTGTAACAAACTCAGAGCGTTTACCGGCAAATTTGTTTATTGTATGTGATTTTGGTTATTAAACAAAGCAAAGGTGATCATATAGCATCTCAGAAAACTTCATATGATAAACACGTGGCGTGTCCTTACCGTGTGCATTCTGGAACAACTGTATCAAGGTATCATCATGTCCAAGTATAGTGTCGTTACGATGTGAGAGCGCCAATGGACTCTTGTTGCTGTACAGATGTTCGGCAGATGTCACTTTGTGACCGCACCTTCTGCACAGCAACTCCTCTGCAATTACAATTGAATATGTTTACTGGTTCGAAAGAAATGTTTGATATCGGCACGATTCATCTAAAGACGAGCAGTAGTATCAGTATCTTGCTACTTTACTTTGTTTCGTATTGTTTTCATCTATATGCTTAATTGTTACATGGCATTTCATTGCAAATCGTGTTGCTATGAATAAATACCACTTATTATGATTATATAAATAAAAGTCCTATTGCATACTGGTTTGAGTGATTTCCTGGTGCATTATTGATTAATTTTAGCAATGTATTGTATACACAGAAGCAAACTCTATTTATAGAATCACGGATTAGAGATAGCTGATTTGGAGACTAACCATTCATTTAACCCTCCTTCACGGACCATTAAATATTAAAATTATTTTGCATGAGTATGAAATACGATACTAGGGCCCAGCTTTTGAACTTATACCTATCAGTATCCTACATATATACTGCTGACACAAATTCTTTACCGTACTGTGTCTAGACAACTCAAATCATCACAAATGCGTGTTGTATTTTATTCGCTGCGGCTATATGCCCAGCAGCCGGGAACGGTCTTTGATTTCCTAAATGCCCGGCAGTTCCTAACCCTAGCGCTAACCCTTGTTTACTTGAGATAACGCTGAAATTTAAAAACTGCCAGGCATTTAGGAAATCGAAGACCGTGCCAGGCAGCCATCAGATATATGCCGGCTGCCGGGCATACAGCCACTCTGTATTTTATTGGCTTTATAGTTAATTTGCACAACTTGAAAACGAATTACTGAAGATTGGTGAGAGTAAAATATAACTATTATACTAGCTCTAGTACTATAGCCTGCTTACATTAACTGCCGCTGGCTAGTTTCAGCGGCAGCGGCAGCAGCCAGCGGCAGTTAATGTAAGCGGGCTATAGTACTAGAGCTACTAGTACTATTTTACCAAATAAATTGTTCCCTGAAAAAAATGTCTATATAGTATATTAGTAGTATAATTTAACACTATATCATATAGTATACTGATATAACCCGACCAGGCTGTGTGACTAACGTCAATATACGTTGGTATTCTAAGTTCTAACCCTAGCAATACCGTTTCTTGGAGCTAATACTGATATAGTGATAGGTCCTACGTGTAAAGACTATCCGCAATCAAAATTGAATCAACAGAACCATCATCATGGCATGTATGATGTATGATGTAAACAAACATGTTACATATACAATTCACAGCTATAAGGCTTGTTATTTATAAATTACCATCTTCAATGTCACCGGTTTGACCAACAGCAACCTTACATGAATACAGCAACAATATTAACAACGTTGCAAACGTATGAGAAATAAAATCACTATACATTGTGATTGTGAAAATACAACATGGGTGCTGACATATTGAATTTACAACCCATCGTATCGTATCATATCGGAAAAGTGCAAATGGATCAATTGCGTTTTATCGCATTACAGAGCATATATGCACATGAAACATGACTATATTTACAGAATCATAAACAATAAATATAATAACTGATAGATTATTACAAAATATTCATGTATGCTCATCCGATATTACAAGCTAATTTATTTAGAATATAAATCTAACGATACTAAACGATACATATCTTTTCGGCTGTTCCGTACTGTGAACATCTCCCATCTATTTCGGTACCTGAAAATACATTTGGTATGGTGAAAAGCAAAAATTGGCAGATGACGTACCTATATAGTATAAAATAAGACGTTTTAGAAAATATCTATGCGATCGGTCTCTAATGTACGTTATTTCTAACGACAGTAAGGTGGTAACCTAAATATGGCGATGAAATAGGTCAAGGGAGGGCCAGTGGTAAAAGTTATAGACGTAAACACATTTACTGTTCGCGTTTAGACGTTGATTGCAACTATATTTCGTATAAATTCGCCATTTTATGAAAACGTGCTATAAGAATACAAGATGGGCTATATCTGAATTGTAAATTTTTTGAAATAATCGCACATTTTACTATGTAAATTTGGCTCTGAAAATGTATGGCAGGGCTATGGAACAGCTGATATCAGCCACGCCTCATGATGTCACAACGTTCTACCCAATGGTAAACCGCTTCGTATCGCTGCCAACCATTTAACTTCATTGTTGTTGTCACGTGACTATTGTTTACTTCTGAAACGTACGCCCCCTTGGCAGCATAACCAGAGACCGGTAGGGAAACCCTTACGTTATTTGACCGACTGCCAAAAATACAGTACGATATTCTACATCTACTGCAGTATTCGTGAGTATTATATCAACGCACATGTTGCAAGATAACTATATTAGCGTCTACAGTTAGAAATAGGCGAGAATGTCGTCAGGAAAAAGACTAGCGAAACGATCTATCATAGGCGCTCGCGTATGTTGCCCTCATCCCAGTCAAGATGGCTACTTTTTCCCGTGTGCGATACAAGCAACCAGAACCGGCCATTCCGGACAGAACAGATACAGTGTCAAGTTTGTCGACGGAACAGTTGCAGAAGTTAAGGAAACGGAGCTGATCGGACAAGGTTTCAGAAGTATTGCTTCTATCGGGCTGAAGAAAGGTCAAAAGGTCTACATCACCCTGTCGGGTAAAGAGGTTCAGGGGATCGTCATCTCACACCAAATGAATGATGAGGTACTGGTGGCTGTCAGCGGACAGGAACACCCGGTTCTGCATGTCAGCAGGAGGATACAAGAGGTCAGACTGACGGAGAGTCGAAAATCGGCAAGACTTGCAGACCACGATACTGACTACGTTAAACTGGCTAACATTCACGCTCACACACAGAAGCGAGCCGTTTCAGGCGTCATAGATGTGCCATCTTCTAATCCAAGGTATGTATACATGTGACAGCTGGGGGTACATATGAACATCGAGCTATAATATATGTGTAAGTGAACATGAAATATGTATTCAACATTTTCATGAGAAAACACGTGCATATAATTGCGCACAAATGAACAAGTACAGGCACACTCAGACACACTCGTTTGTGGATTCCTACAGGAAGAGAACAAGTGCCAGTTTAAGTGAAGATGTGGAGGCAATGGATGAACAAATTGCGGCCATGGCCCTTACTAGTCTGTCGTGCAGCCCCGTTCCGTCCCACATCACGCGATTACAAGGTAAGAAATTGATATTTTCGAAAATTTATCTTATATATTACAGGAGTGTAGTAATATATATCTATATTATGACACTCCTGATGTTTATACGTTATATAAATCACACGAGTTGTTGCATCTAACATAATAGCTATATGGTGTGTGAGCCGGTATAACTACCAGTTTTCATTGTAACTGTCAAGTACCGCTTCTAAACACAGGCGGTCTGTGTCCGAACGGTATTAATCGTATAATGACAGTATGCCCAGGCATTGAACGCATTTTACATGCCCTGGATACGGCCGATGTTGATAGGCTGTGGGGAGCCTGCATGTACGGCCGCTGTTGCTATGCCCATAGCGATCTGTAGTAGGCCACGACGTGCGCATGCGCAGATGTCACCCAGCTGCCCCGTGCATGCCCCTCCTCTAATTACTCTTCGCGATCAGCTGGCCTTTGTGGCGTGCCTAAATCCTTGACAAGCGGCCCCAGGCATAGTACTTGCGTGAGCGGCTGAGCGCTGGCAGCCGCACCAGGAAGTGGATTTTTCACCACGAACGTGTATGCGCATGAGCGTAGTAGGTCGGTACATGGTCGATAGTGCTATCGTCAATCGGTAATGATGGTGCTGACGTGCTTTCGATACAGATGGGGTAAGTTATAATTGCCACAGTGCAATTAGTGGTGATTGCTTTCTAACGGAATGAAGATTTCTACTTAACTCGGTGAATTTACTGCATGGTTTAGTTCGTCGTGTTTATCGTTGAACATCCCTTCAACATTCGTACTGGCATAGCAAACAGCTGTAGTTCACATCAGTTTCTACGTTTGTAAAGTACGTTATTAGAAAGTAATAAAATCCGGTTATGTAACCCTGCGCATAAACACGTTTACGCAGGGATACGTGAACAAGTTATAAGAAGAAAGTCAAGAAACTTATATAATAGGAAGTATTATTGTACAGTAACAACTATGCCAATCTCTGCACACTTGGTTTACTGTAGGTCCAAGAAACGGTCTTTACTAGGGTTAGAAGACTGTGTATATTGTAGACTGTGTATATTGACGTTAGTCACACAGCCTGGTCGGGCTAGGTTTACTGTAGCTCTACATTATGTTGCGACTTAAACATTATTACACGATCTCTTGTGCCAAATCCGACGTTCACAACTGTGATGCGTTCATTGAGTGAGTGGAGTTAGCTCAAGGGAGCACGGCTATTTCAAGCCTATTTGTGGCCACTGTAAATACGCCAGTGCGTCGATATGTACGCAGTCACAGCTAGAGCGAGGTCGCCCGTGAGTCATATCACCGCGCACGCGCTCGTAGTGAACTCTACGTGACCTGTGTTTACATTCCGCTATCATGCGCTGCCAAGCAGCACTATACAACCCGCGTCCGTGCAGAAATTAATATTCATGCATGTACGTATTTATAGTAAGCATAGATATGAACAAATATGTGTTTGTATATATGTCTATGATGTAAGTAAGCATGGGGTGGTGCACAGGCACTTGGAGCGTCTCAATAAAAAAATACAGAGTGCATGGCTATAATATGCCCGGCAGCCGGCATATATCTGACGGCTGCCGAGCACGGTCTTCGATCGATTTCCTAAATGCCCGGCAGTTTTTAATTTTTCAGCGTTATCTCAAGTAAACAAGGGTTAGGGTTAGGGTTAGGAACTGCCGGGCATTTGAAATCGAAGACCGTGCCCGGCTGCCGGGCATATAGCCACAGCGAAAAAAATAATGGTAAATAAACACGAAATGTATTTACTACCAAAGTCTTAATGGTTCTCTACTCTATTTCGCCTATTATAATTTATTGCCGATAATTACCCGTAAATGCCGGTCAAATGCTCATCTGCAACACACAAGTAAGCCGCACACACGCCCTGCATGTGCACAAACAACATGAATAAGATGGTTATAAAATCGGTTCCAAGTGCCACTGATAGGGGTAATGTCTCCCTGGGTACTACCGGAACGTACCCTGGTAACTATCTGATATGGTTAGGGTTAGGGTGTAGGCGTAGGCGACTCCCTAGACTCGTTAGTGGAGTAGGCGAGGTACGGTCCGGCATATTAGATAGTACCAGGGTACGTTCTGGTATACCGGACCGTACCCAGGGTACGTTCCGGCAGTACTCAGGGCCTGACTCAGGGAGACATATAGACCCTGGCAGCCCAAGTGCCTGTGGGGTGGTGGCTGCTTGGCGTCATGCTGATGCTGTAAAATGTGCTATTTTATATGGGGCTATATATGCAATCCCGAATACGGAGTAAAATAGTAAGTGGCTGTTAGGACATAATAATACCTTATTACCACACTCATGACACTATATTTATATGGCTGCCACGGTGCCACCTATGTATTGCTGAACCCTATATTGACGTAATTAAGTAAGTTATAGTTCTATGCCATTTATACGAAAACACGACGTTTTATGTACACACATCAATAATTAATTATTTATTTTAATGATTGATTTAATTGTTCAGTATTAATAATCTATCCGGATTCCATTGACAGAAGTAGAGATGTGGGCCGCTGGAAGCGAAGGTGGTCACTCGTCAAGTTACTCAAGTTGGGACACTGATGGCAGTTGGAAAAGCAGCCCATCCCCACCCTCCCGGCTTCCAGTCTCTGCCGTCCCTACACCGGTCCAAGTATTCACTGGGAACTCTACGGATGAGGGCATTGGGCTCGAGGAGGCCTTTGATGAGCCTTCAGATGAAAGTTCACCACGAAAGAAAAGGGTATGGAAAGTCCACTCTGTCCATTGCACCTAGTTGTATCCCCCGCGACGAAGTCGGCGGGGATACTATGGTTTCATGTCTCCCCAGCCGTGGCCGCCGCCGCCGCTCGGTCCGCCCCAGAGAATTTCTTTTCGCTCTATAACTCGACCCCTAATTGACCTAGCGTGACCAAACTTGGTGTACTTACACATCTTAGGGAGAAGGTGTGCAGAGTACCAAAACCAGGTCACTGCGACCTTTATTTGACATTGATCTTGATCATATTTCCCTTCCGCTCTATAACTTGGCCCTTAATTGACCTAGCGCTACCAAAACCAGGTCACTGCGACCTTTATTTGACCTTTACATTGACCTTGATTATATTTTCCTTCCGCTCTATAACTTGGCCCTTAATTGACCTAGCGCTACCAAAACCAGGTCACTACAACCTTTATTTGACCTTTACCTTGACCTCCATCATATTTCCCTTCCACTCTATAACTCGGCCCCTAATTGACCTAGCGCTACCAAACTTGGTATACTTACACATCTTGGGGAGAATGTGTGTCGCGTACCAAAACAAGGTCACTGCGGCTTTTATTTAACCTTGACTTTGACCTTGATCATATTTCCCTTCTGCTCTATAACTCGGCCCCTAGTTGACCTAGCGTGACCAAACTTCGTAGACATATGCATACCTTCTAGACCTCCTATATTTCCTATATATGTTTTATAGGATTCTATAAAACTCCTATATTTTGACACAACCTCTTAGATTTCCTATATTTTGAGTGGCTGTAAATTTTTTGGCAAATTGTTAGGGGGAAAGATCATCTATTATGGCCGACCGAGTCTCTTGTATAGACAGATATTGGACTTTCATTGCCAAGATCTATTTGCAAAGTCATCTCTTTGCAAAATTTGCAACTTTGCAACATTTACAAGTGCATCTTTTTGAAAGGTCAATATCCTGTTCCTGCGGACATTGAGTATCTCTAAATTGTTTCAACCAATTGTTCATGCCAAGGTTGTGTGGTGAATGTGTGCACAGCTTCTGCTCAGTTCCTTAACATTCCTATATTTCTCCTATATTTTAAAGGATCTCCTCTTATATTTCCTATATATTCTTGTCCTATCAAGTGGCTATAGGAGGTATGAAATTTATATTTGATTAATTGTTGCTACTTTTGGTAATTGATATTTGTTTTTAATATTACTATTTGGTAATTTATATGGCATTTTTGTCTTGGTGTACCATGCAGCTGCCCAGTCGGAAGGTCTACCAGTGCACATGGCAGGCCTGTGGAGTCGTCTCTGCCACTAGGTCAGCTGTTGAACGCCACATACGACATGCTCATCTCATGTAAGCTCTCTATAATTCATGGTGATGCGTATAATATGGCTGCTCAGCATGTGTACAGGCCACTATGTATACTGTCACGTTAGCTGTGCTAGAGGCTACCTCTATGGAATAGACACGTGCCTATAATAGACACTTGGTACTTTACTTGAATAGCAGTTATTTAGTTAAATCACCTCAGTAGACAACTGTCTATAGAAGACACGTTTAGGGGTTTTCTTGCATGATCTTTATGTACAGATTTGACTGTAGGTGTTATCTAAGCAGATACATATTTTCAAGAGCTAATACACACTAGGTGTTTATTAGCTCTTGATATTTTGTATATGTAAAATTGTTTATGTAAAAAGGCAAGCATATTCGATATTCCTCGTACGCTGAAGATTGAATGTATAAATGACATGATGTTGTCTGTTTCTGAAATACTTTCTTGCATTTTACAATGATACGAGTAATTTTCATTCACGATAAATCTATTCTTAATTGTTTTTGATCAGTTATTGTAACTTGCTAACAGGTGTAATAAATGAATTTACACTCACGATGTTGTTTGCGTCTGTGCGGCAGGAGGCAGGACAACAGTGATTCTGACCTGAGCGACGATCATGAGGAAGAATTCTACTACACAGAGATAGAGGTCAATGTCGACAACATCACGGACTCGCTACAGCATATGAACATGTCAACATCCCCTGCGCCCACCCAGAGCCACATGGACATGGTGCGGCCTCCGCACGAAGACCCCATTTATAAGGACCATCAGTATGGTCAGTACCTTAAATTACCTTCTTTTATCCTAGCTTAAAATGACTTAAATGGCATGCTGTCTAAGAGTTCAAAATTCTAAAGTTATAGCATGAAAACAAGTGCCGCAGAGCGACAGCGCTCAACTGACGTGTACTGTAGCCGGGTATTCTTCTGATAAACTCACTGGCAACCGAATCAAGTGCTCCCTCCCGCCACCGCGTTGATAGGCTTTGCTATACCGGTAGTACAGTAATAAAGATATAGCTGTGTAACTTTAATGACTTTGTTATATTAACGTTATCTTGGATATGTGTCGAGCGCGAGCGTAGTGGTGGTGGGGGAGGATGGGGGGCGGGTAGAGGGGGCTCGGGCAGTAATAGCAAAAGCAGTTCAGTCCTTTGTTAACAGTCAACAAATCCAGGTTTACCCCTCCTCTTGAGGGTCAAAGGATTATCAGACAATTACTCTTCACACGTCAGCAGAAAGTACATTTCATGGTCCTTTCAATAAAGTGATAAAAATGGTAGGTCAGCGCTGAAAAAAAAAGTTTTGCACTCGGTCTGTTAGACCATATCCTCAGAAAATGTCTGATATCTGACCTTTCCCCTACTGCCCTTTGACCTGTGACCTCCAATTTCACGCTGGTGATGGGTTTCCTCCCCATCACACTATACATAGAATATTAAGAGCGTAGGTCGAGCCGTTGAGATTTCTGCCGCAATTCCGTATTTCCTCCTATACCTTAAGTTAAGGGGGAAATATTCCCCCTCCATTGACACATCTTGACCTGTGACCCTTGACCCCCAAATTCGACATCCCGAGTACTTTTTTTTTTTTACAGTGTATGCAATCTTGCTGTTTATTCAGTCAAGGTTTCGTTCAATCTACATTATTCGTATTGTTGTGCATTTTATATTATTGCACGCGTTTGTTAAATGTTTTAGGTATACGACCGGTGGAAAGCACCTTTTCTGCTCCCGTCAACATTCCCCAGATACAGAGGTCCTTGTCGTGGCAAGCATCTACTTCTGGTACAAATTCTGTAAGTGTCCTCATTTTAGGTAAACCCACTAAAGTAAAGAATGTCGCGTAATATTGTACGATTGTTGAACAGCTGCACTGCATCTTGTGTGCAAGCTCAGAAGGAACCAGGAACCACTCATCTCATTTAAATGTAGATTTATGCCAAATGAAATTTAGGGACTGGTTACCATAGCAAAACTAACTATGGCGATGATTCCATCCCAGTTCTCAAAAGGGTAGTATAAGTAAAAGTGAGGTGTAAGCGAAACAAATTGTGAATGATGCGATGGTGGCGGATAAAGCGTATCATTATCTACCCCACCCACTCTAACGTGGTTCCAGGTATTGCGTAGATTTAGCATATGCTTAGATGGTTTATCAAAGCATTGTATGCTTCAGGTGTCACTGCAAAGTCAAGGTTATAGATCGATATTCTACCAACGTCAGCAGCAGCACCAGGCCGCTTCTCCCAAGTCTCCTACCTACTTGTGCTCTACGCAACGCAGCAGCAAGGGACGCGGAGAGGGTCGCAAGTGCAGAAAGGTGTATGGTATGGACAACAGAGATCTATGGTGTACGCAGTGCAGGTGGAAAAAGGCGTGCTCCCGGTCATTTGACTCGTACGCATAGGTACTTGGTTTCTTCCAGTGGTTTAGCCAGTAGGGGGTTAATACACCATCAGTTCTATGTCGCATCCTCGTAAAACTCTTATTCTGTGTGTTTGGATAAATTAATGCTCTTGACCTTTAATCGATGCACCACAGGGAGAATTTCTACTACATTATCCATTTGGAGTCTCACTAGATGATGTAGCTGTATTTTTATATACAAACGCTGACAAAATGTGTATGTACATGTATATGTGTGTGTATGTGTACGTGTATATGGAAAGTATGTGCTTCTGATCAGGAGTGAATAAAAACACATTTTCTTGTTGTTTTTATTCATGCCTGTTCTGATGTTTTATGGTTTAGCCTCGTAATATGTTGTAAATGCAAATCATTCAGGTGAATCGGCAGTTGTGTGCCGAATGCTAAAAATAATCATCTTCATGCGACGTAGATGAAATTTAATAGCACCAGGTAGAACTGTACGTGGAATTATTACATCTGAATTCAATAATCTCAGTATCACAATGAGATGCATCTAAATACTTTTGTGTGTGCTGTAAATAGTTTGTAGAACAGAAAACTATCTACACAATGATTAGCTGTAATAGGGATAGCTCCAAGAAAAGGTCCTGTATAATTGTGAGCATTTAGTGTCAACCACACTGGTTTATTATCTAGTGTTTTTAGTCGTTGAAGTTGTGAGCTTTTATGATATAGACGTGATTAGTAGCAATCTTACATTTTAACAGTATTTAATACCATTTACCCGTTTTTAAACTGCGTGATCTTTTGTGGTCTCTAGATTTATTCCTCAGTATTCCAGATCGTTTTGAGGCAGTCATGTTAATGCTGAATATACCTGTGAACTTGTGGCGCCACTGTGGAGGGAAAAAAGAAAATGATGTAGCATTATGTCCCTTTAAACCAGGAAACTATTTCAGCAAAAGTATTCCTGTTGGTCTCGCCAAGAGCATAAACCAAAATGAGTGAGGTAATGTGTAAGTTATATATATGAAGAGCATTTTATATACAATCACACTACATAATTGTATCGGGGTATATGTATAGCAATTGCAACATGTTAATGCACTTTTAAATTTGAGTGGGCTGTAATGGTCGATAATCGAAACAAGGATCTGTCACTGACTCGTGTGCATCTGAGCATGCAGACTCGACAAATCGTACAGGTGGAGTCTGTACATATATAAAAGCACTACCATACATTACAGGCTGTATGTCATGCAGTTGTGTGCAGTTATTTTTCAATGTATTTTAGCATATGTAGGGGTAGAGGTTTGTAGTTAGTTGTTTGGTCAGGAATGACATTGAAGTTACTAAATTATTGCTTGTAAGTTGTATTGTCTTTGTATCTGTACGTGAGAATGTGACCGGTTTTTTCTTAGCAGCTGTGCGGAGTTATGCATGATAAAGTTAAGCAATTCACACCCTACACTTGAATCTCTCTTTATCTTTGGCATTGTACGTGGTTGTAAAATTTGTAAGTGTTTACATGTTGTACAATGAATTGTCATTTCACAAAGTGATCGAATGCTACTTATTCTTATATAAGTTCATATGCATTTCATTGTATGTCTTCTTTAATTACTATACGTTACTTAACTAAATGATGAGCAATGTCTATACGCAAATCACATTACCTTATTGCAAATTCAAACTACCACACATTGGTTTTATTTCGACAACAGATAGTATCATGCATAGCTTGAAGACTTTTTGCAATTGTTATACAGATGCAAACTTAGTTAGTTGCCAACAGGAGAACGTACGTATGTATGCTGCTATGCACGCACTATACTTTATGATCATGGCTAGAACAGCGAATCTATTTTCTACGCATATCTATACTAATAGTAATACTATATATTATATATGTACCATAAGGAATGAGAAAATATAAGGTTTTGCTCTAAAAGAGTCACTTACACAAACACCAACCACCCCAGAGCCTCAGCCCAGAGCCAGGAATAACGATTGTTATTGCAGTGTGGTCAAACCATAGATATAGATATCTTCATAGATATATAAATAAATTCTTCTTCTTCTATTATATCTATCGGTCAAATACGTTACGGTAATAGTATATGACATCGTTCCGCCATCTATCGGGGCAAATAATTTACAATCGCGCGTTGTTAACGTACGCGTTATTGCGTAACATGGTGCTAATGCACTGCCACCGGTGAGGTGGGTGCGGGTAATACAACTAATTGTAAATAGTAAGGTTAAAAAAACAGTAAACACAAAAAAACTTCGTAAACTATTAAACCCAACCGGGCTCTACGGCGCAGTGATAAGCAATTAAGACGGATACCGTTGATCATGGATATACACAACACATGTGTTCACTGGCAGCAAGAACAAGCCCGCACGCACGTACACGGTACAGCACACACGTACGCGCCCATTGACTATAATATAACATTATAGTTGTTATTATTATTATAAGTTGTTATTATAGTCAATGGGCGCGTGTGTGCTGTACGTGCGGGCTTGTTCTTGCTGCCAGTGCATGTGTTGTTTATATCTATGATTTGATGTGGTCGCGGTCGTTTCCGGTTTTGCACGTAGCTCTCTAGCCGCGGGTTACACATTTCCCGCATGTCAGCGCGTCACGACGCGGTACCGTGCGCAAAAGGTAGGTGCCGATGCTTACATCAATACCTGTCCTTTGGACATGTAGGTGACCCAGCCGCAGTCACATGTGTTCGTCCCCACTGGTGCTACTGCGGACAGCTCTTTAGTTATATACGGCTAACAAAGACCGTTTCACAATGTCGGACGTCGAGGGAGGAACTGTAACCCCATCGGAAAAGTCGCCGCTGTTGGGAAGTTTTAATAACAAGAGTCGATCCGGATCGTTCAAGAAGTAAGTTCTACTGTATTTTCTACAATTTTAATCGGTGTGAGATTTTTAAGTGGCGGCCGCTAGCTGTTTCACACAACGACTCGGTTAGTGTTTACGATATCGTCTAGATCCTGGTCTAGTTTATCTGCTTTTGTTGCAATGTCGTGTTGCGTTGTGCGGCCACCACATCGACTTGGCTGCGTTCATTCGCTACAGCAGCTGCTATCGAACGTGCGTTGCAAGCCGGGCATCGCGTAGCTCCGCACAATGTTCGCTGTGCGTTGAGTGTATATTTCGACACCTCTACATCTATAGGCCTACATAGACTCTATACTTTCACTGTTATGCAACAAAACGCTCATATTTCCTTTCCATCTGTCACTTCTTATCTTTAGAAATGTTATTGGTCACTCCAACATCGTTTCTTTTGTATGTAAACACCAACTAGCATCCGAGGTCATAAGTTCTGGCAGATTCATCGAAAAGACCATAATAGTTTTTAATTTTAATACCCTTTATTCTACCATACATAAGACCATACATACCCTTAAGCCCGGCGCACATAGCCGAACATTTGGCTCAAAAACATTATCGTAGCAATGTTCCATGAAATGTTCGGCAATGTGCGGTGAAAAAAGTTGCCGAACATTTGTTCCGAACAATGTTTCTGAAGATCGGAAAGGTTTGATATCTCGAACATTGTTCGTCGAATGTTCGTCAATGTGCGCTGAATGTCGAACAATTCTAGGAACATTTGTAAAGTAGTAACCAATAGCAGCACGATATGTGGTCACATGATTTTTGTGCCCAATCATGCGCCGATCACGTGACTCTTTACAACACAGCTTCTAGACGGCGCCACGAGATTGTTCGCTGCAAAATGTTCGTCAATGTGCGCTCAGCAATTGTCCACCCGCACATTGCCAGACAAAAACATTTGTTCGGGAAAATGTTCGGCAATGTGCGCCAGCCTTTAGTCTACGTACGAATATCCTATTCACATCTCCAGAGTTCACACACCCCCTATAATATTAAACCTTTATTGCATGCAATTCAAATACGGTACGCAATCTTTATCATATAGAAAAAACCTGATAGATGCAATATAATATGCAATAACCTAATAGTGTTGAGCAGTTAAAATAATAAAATTTCTGAATAATACGTACAGCACAAAACACATGCAGTGCTTCCTTCTTCTTGCCCTTTCCTTTCTGTCTCATTCTCCTTTCACATTACCCATCTCCTCCATCCAACTTTTCTGATGGCTGTTGACCCAACCCTGTTAATTAATTGTACTTAATTAATTCATAACGTCCTTCTTGTCACTTCCTTTATTAACCATACTCTGCAACATGGTTAATCAGTAATTAAATTGCAGGGCTGCCAACTCTCACGCATTGACCGTGAGACTCACGCATTTTGACCAAATCTCACGCTGATCTTACAATATCTCACGCACAGCAACAAAATGCTGAGATATCTCATGCATGAATAATCTCTTCATGAATAAAATGCTGAAATATCTCACGCACAGCAAAAAAAATCTTACAATATCTGAAAAAAGTCACTTTAGTATGCACCATGCACCAAATTGCACAAATTGAAGTTATAAAATGCAAAAGCTCCCTACCGTGGGAGGGGAAATCCCCCTTCCCCCCCCCCTCGGTCGCTTCGCTCCCTCACATCTCACTCTCACCTATCACCCAATGTTGGCAGCCCTGAAATTGTTATTCACATGAAATGAATAGGTACCTACCAATAATAGGTACCAATAATAGGTATAAATAATGGGTACCACCTATAAATTATCATGTAATTCATTCAGGCAGAAAGAATTTCCCCAGAGGCAAAAGAAAAATTTCCTGGAAACACTACAGGATGGTATTTCTAGTGGCAGTTACGTTCGTGCTATAAGACCAATATGCCCATGTCTGCCAAGTTGCCAACCATAAATCCACTGGCAGTGTGACAAATCTGATACAGCTACAAGAGATTTTTCAGGGCCGTAGCCTGCGTGGGGGGGGGGGGGCTGCCCCCTAGATTTTGGAGCAAAATTAAAAAAAGAAATTGTTCTACTAAAAGAGAATTGTCGTAGTCAGAATGAAGGCTGTACATGTACTCAAAAGTGCCTCAAATACCATCTCCTGCGATCTACATTTTCAAAATTTTTTGTGGGAGGACCACCAGACCCCCCCACCTGTTTCTCACCCCCTCCTTGAAATCCTGGATCCCCACTGCCTCCCCTAGGAATTTGCTCAGCCTACGGCCCTGTTGTTTGTAATAGGTATGGAATTATGTCCTTATACCACATCCTTTACTGCAGACTTTGGTCTCAATCTGCAAGTACGCATGTTTACTTATAACCGATTTTCTGCTCAACTACATAATTTATAGCTTTATGTTGAGTTTACTCCCATTAATTGTTTGCATGCGGGGTATTATATGCCTGAGCTAAAATTATGGTATAAAACCAATACTAGTTAAAAATGAAATATGTCCGAAGTTTGAGTGGTGGAAACCAGATTAGACGTAGGTGTGTGTAATCAGTATGCATATGGGAGAAGACTATTCCAGGTGGACCGGTTACAGAAAAATGTATTGAGAACTGGCAACTTGAGAATTGGTAACTTGTTAATTAGTGTTTTCTTAGACATTTTATTTCAAAGTTAATTAGCAAAAGTGTTAATTAGCTTGTTCGATTTGCAAGTTAAATGAAGATTCTGTAGCAGGTCTCTTCCATCATTCCATCCAAGGCCATTTCGATTATGCACATTCTGCCTCTGGTAATTCTTCTGTGTATTCGTCTCAATAGCTGGAAAAGGCAGCAAAGAAGAGTTAATAATATATTGCATACATAACACAGTATCATTATATGTATCTAAAACTATATCTATTATCATCTAACAATTAAGTTCCTTACACAATATAATCCTACGAAGTACAGCCTTCTTGGCTCTTGTCATCAATTCCAGCAGGTTACCTATGAAATTAAATACAATGAAACCTATATGGGACACTCACCTAAACACAAAAAGTAGCCTTCATAGACACGTGGTATTTCAGTATAAGTTGGTGGTTATTTTGAATTTTGCTGTATGACTGTACGAGTCATGCAATGCATGTCTAAAGACAATGATAACTTTTTTCTATTATGGACTCTTCATGTAATAAGTGCATTGACTTAACAGCAATTACATTAACCCTTAGATTTAGATCCAAGTACAAGCATTTGTATTGTAAGTGATAAGGGGTTAGTGAATGCTTTTGTGTGTGTTTCTCTTTTCACGGAGGGCGAAGAAGATTATCAATCTGAAGGCACGATGACAAAAGGTGCCAAGCAGGACTACTGAAATGACCAGATTGGTCATTCTGCTATTCTATCGTTAAATATCAAATTAACGACAGATTCTTCGTAAATGCATTTTTTATACCAGTATAGTCACTGAATGTATTTTAAGTAAAGAAGATATGTCAGTGCATGGATTTTCAAGAAAGGTAGATGTGTTCAGAAGTACATAACAAATCTTCTATACTCAGTTGCATGTTCCATCTCTACTCACAGGAGCAATTCCATCGACGTGGTACCTGACATTGATATAAGGGATGGGCAGGTAGGAGGCCAGTATAATACCTTATCAAGACAGCCTGTCGGTGGCTCCATCACGGTGTGTCTCCATGGCAACGCTGACGGAGACTGCACGGGTAATTGACATACCTTCCACAATTTATTTTGATAGACGTATTATATTAAATGCATGTACGGGAGTTTTTTTATTTGCAGAATTTTGTTTTTCCTGTCGCCAGAGAAATGTAGTTAAAAGTTTGAAGTTTGATTTCAGTATGCGAAAGCGACTCGAACAGCGACTGCAGTACTGATGACACGCACTGCCACAAGGAGAGGTCACAACACATTCTTGATGACAAGAAGGCCAAGCGGAAGCTCCTTATTGCCAGCTGCCTCTGTCTCGTGTTCATGATAGGAGAAGTATTTGGTATGTACTACAGTGACTTGGGCGTACTGACAGTATTGTAGTGTATTTTGGCTGTATAGGTAAGGCGTATAACTGTACACAGTATGGCTAGACATTTTCATGCCATTCTCAAAGTGGCGGGATATAGGATGAAATTACAGGTTTCGTTTTCATCCTATCAGTTTCCGCAAAATGCATGTCCCGTTGCTGTGGTATTCTACGATTGGCAATCATTACGCAGAATGTCTACACATACTTGTGTAATAAACTGTACTTGTTGCCCTCGCCACCAGGTGGCTACTTTGCCGACAGTCTTGCGATCATGACGGATGCGGCTCATCTGCTTACTGACTTTGCGAGCTTCATGATCAGTCTCTTTGCCTTATGGGTTGCCTCCCGTCCAGCCACCAAACAGATGCACTGGGGCTACTACAGAGCAGGTGAGTGACAAACCTCCAGGACAAATACACGCGCACCATGTATGTTAATTACCTAGTGCCTCAACCCAGGGATTACATGTATTAGCCCATTCATATCATGTCTACAGGGCAAAAAATTCAGATTTTTTTGCACCGGCCCAGAGGGCGGGCTTGGTAACAGCAATTTTTTACCAGCCCTCACCAATTTTTTTTGAAAATCAATGTCACATGTTTCACGCTTGCATTCTCGATTTCAAATTTGTAAAATGTTGATAAATTATGGCATGATATCCTTCAGGTAAAACAGTAATAAAGGCTATTTCAGAATTTGCTCATTAATGGTATAAATAAAAATGTAGGTACTCGCTAACACGGCTGAAACGGGCCGGTGTTTTGTCAATGTTACCGACCGTCCAAATAATTTGCCGGCATATATACCGATGGGCCGGTGCTAATTTCGCACCCTGTGCCTATCCTGTTTGTTTCACCTTGCCTTTTCGGCTATCTTGTTTACACATATCTTGTTTATCTGTATGTTTACTACACCTATCTACCCATATATTTACATAACTATACTTCCAGGGTTCGACACTAACGCTAGTCCGTTAGTCCGAGACTAGTAAAAAATAAGAAGGACTAGTAAATGCCCCATAGCCGTTAGTCCTGCGGACTAGTTATTTTCCCCGTCCCAATTTCCCATCCTCCTATATCGATTTTACTATAGTCCCTGGCGGCAGCTTCTCTCAACCATTGGTCCAAGATCCAAAGAGCTAAATATATATATTATAATTAACTCATTGCCATCAACAAGTTTTCTCTGTTTAATAGATGCGCTAGTACAAGTATAGACGCGAGCCCGCTCTGCACGCTAGACCATATGGCAGTACAAACATTGTTAAAAACAATGGAGCCACAAACCGGGCGTTGCTAGAACACGGGCGTCGAAGGAGGGTACCGTTACGTGGCAGCACTAGTCACTTTGTACGCTTCAAAGTCCAAATCTTCCACAGAAAGATTCCACAGTCAGTTGTACCGTGCTAGACATGCCCATATTTCCCTAACCCTAACCCTAATCCTAACCCTAACCCTAATCCTAACCCTAATCCTAACACAAGTGCAGCCACATCACAAGACCCTCCTTCGACGCCCGTGTTCTAGCAACTCCCCCACGAACCAGTCTACCGATCGATCACTTTACAGTAGTTGTCGACATAGAACAAACGGTCTGATTGTATAAATGACACAACTAATCAGTTTATACGCTCTCATATAGCGAGGTATTTACATCGCAACCACATCGCATGCGTGTTTTACTTAAGTCAATACAAATAGTTATCTATACAGGGTTCTCAAAGAGCACTTATAGCCTGGCGGCCCGCCAGGCTATCGTCGAGCCCCGCCATCCTAAAATGCACCCGCCACTCTAAATATCATAGCCGCCATGCTGGTGTATACACAAGAAGTTCAAACAATTAATACATGCTGTTTATACGCTACCTGCCTGCCTGCCAGCTAGCTTCCTTGTCACCTGCCTGCCTGCCAGCTTCCTTGTCACCTGCCTGCCTGCCAGCTTACCTGCCTGCCTGCCAGCTTCCTTGTCACCTGCCTGTCCCTGCCACTGCTTTCCTCGTCACCTGCCTGACAAGCGGGCTTCCTTGCTCACCTTTGCCTGCCTGCCAGCTTCCTCGTCACCTGCCTGCCTGCCTGCCAGCTTCTCGATTCAAAGCACTGGCCTGCCTGCCAACTTCCTTGTCAACCTGTCTGCGTCAGCCTTTCTTGTCACCTGCCGCTTCCTTGTCAACCTGCCTGCCTGGTCAGCTTCCTTGTCACCTGCCTGCCTGCCAGCTTTCTTGTCACCTGTCTGCCTGTCAGCTTTCTTGTCACCTGCCTGCCTGCCTGCCAGCTTCCTCCGCCATTCACCTGCCTGCCTGCTGTCAAGCTTCCTACTGCCTGCCTGCCTGCCAGCTTTCTTGTCATCTGCCTGCCTGCCTGCTTCCTTGTCACCTGCCTGCCTGCCAGCTTCCTTGTCACCTGCCTGCCTGCCTGCTTCCTTGTCACCTGCCTGCCTGCCAGCTTCCTTGTCACCTGTCTGCCTGCCAGCTAGCTTCCTTGTCACCTGCCTGCCTTGCCGCCCACCAACCTTAACTCTAGCCTGTCTGCCTGCCGTCGCCTGCCTGCTGCGTTGCCGCCTCCGCTGCGTTGACCCACCACCCTACTAAAGCCTGTCGGTGTCTGCCTGCCACCAATCATACCTACTATAGCCTGTCTAGCCCTGCCTGTAACTGCCTGTCTGCTCTGCCTGTCTGCCTGTACTGACGCCTGCCTGACCTGCCTGCCCTCCTGCCTGCGCTGCCGCGCTGCCTGCCATCACACCCTACTATAGCCTGTCTGTGTGCTGCCGGCATGCCTGCATGTCTGCCTGCGTGCCCTCCACCCTACTATAGCCTGCCTGCCTGCCTTCCTTGCTCCCACCACCCTTACTAGCCTGCCTGCGTGCCCACCACCCTACTATAGCCTGCCTGCCTGCCTGCCTGCGTGCCCACCACCCTACTATAGCCTGCCTTGCCTGGCCTCGCCGCCTGCTGCCTGCCTGCGTGCCTGACCTGCCCACACTCTACTGATTAGCCTGCTGCCTGCCTGCCGCCTGCCACACCCTAACTAGGCCTGTCTGCCTGCCTTGCCATGCTGCAGCCTGCCACCACCCTACATATAGCCTGCCTGCTGTATGCCTGCATGCCTGCGTGCCCACCCACCTACTAGCCTTTCGT